TTTAGCTTCTTGGATTGTCGGGCCATAGTCCATTTGTGAATCTGGTCTTTTCCTTTGACTTTCATGATCTTTGTTCATCATAAATTTAAAAACACCACAGATGGCTGTCATTCCTGCAGAAATTTACAAGTTTAAATTTGCAAGTTTAAATCAATTCAAGGGTTTCTGTAGTTTTCTAAGTTCAATAAAGTGTGTACTTTATGATAAGTCAGTTCTTTATAGTTTTGTAGTTTAATTGGAAGAGTTGTGATGTTTTCATAAGAATATATATATGTATATATATATTTATATATACAGTGCTTGTTACACAGTAGACAATAAATGATAACTAGCTATTGCTTTTTTAACTGTTTGTTTTAAACTTCATTCCATTCTACATTTTACAATGAAACACCTTGAAAATAATTCTGTTTTTAAGAATGTGATTTTTCTTCCTGTTGGCAATCATATTGTTTGATACATTGTTTGAGAATGCCATTAAACAGTTTAATACCTTTCTTCTATTTATAATTCTACTTCAACTCATATCTGTCATGGTAGAAGAAGGCAATGACATATCAAAATCTCTGAAGATATAATTTGGCTTTAGAAGAATTAACAGAATGATTCTCTTTTCAAACAGCAGCCTTACCATTTCTAATTATGCTTCATTTGTATTAAAACTAGTTTAATGTAAAAATAATTTACATTGTTCAGAAACACATCAAATAATATTAAAGAAAGTATGTTGGATACAAGGGAAATCACAGTGGCATTAAATAAAAAAATATGTAATAAACCACAATAACTCATTAATGTATTATTTTTTACTTCAATTTTATTATTGGGCATATTTAAAAGTATATTCAATATATGGACAAAAATATTTGTATATATGGATAAAAATTTTCGAAAAGATGAAGGACTACCATTTCCAGCTTACATTTCAATCTTTTAAACCCCTTCCCCCACCTTTTAAGTAGAATGTCCTGTGGGGCCTATAAAAAGGCCACTTTTAATCTTAAAGTCTTATGAAATTGAAAAAATTTTCCCATAAGAATTTAAAATAGATACTAGATTTTGAGTCTGCCTTCTATAAAAAAAAATGTGTATCTTTCCAAGATTTTTGGAAGTCTGGCACTGTCACACATGCTTTCTGGACATAATTTGTTTTTTAGGTTTCTTTTTTCCATGGGAATTCAAAATAAATAGACTCTTATTATTAAAATGGGGGAAAATAGCATTATTGTAAAGCTGATTACAGATAATACTGGAAAGAATCTACCATTGATTTGGAAACGTTTTTCCATTCGTTAATGTCTTAAGAATTCTTAAGAGCTATTTTTCTTTCCAACTTTTAGACATCAAACTCTTTCTGAGCCCGACATGGTGGTATATACCTGTAATCCCAGCAGCTCAGAAGGCTGAGGCAGAAGGACAACAAGTTCAAAGCCAGCCTCAGCAATTTAGTAACCTGTCTCAAAATAAAATATAAACAGAGGTGCACATGTGGCTCAGTAGTTAAACGCCCCTCTGGTTAAATCTCCTATGCCAAAAAACAAAAAAAAATCCAAAACAAAACAAAACAAAACAAAACCTTTCTGAGGTCAGTACAGTTATTTCTGTAGTTAAACGCCCCTCTGGTTAAATCTCCTATGCCAAAAAACAAAAAAAAATCCAAAACAAAACAAAACAAAAAAAAACCTTTCTGAGGTCAGTACAGTTATTTCTGTGTAATAAAAAGTATTAATAGCTTTAGATTTGTAATTCTTCTTAATACTTGTCCTATACCCAAAAGGAAACGCTTATTAAATATTTTAAGTGCCACTGTGAATGCTACTTTGTAACATATATTTGTATTAGATTAAAAATAATCTTTTGAGATCATTAATTGCTGCTTCTCAACCCACTCCTCACATATGGCTTCCATGTAGTTATACAATAGCACTTTTCTACAGCAGTATTTTTAAAAGTCTAATCTGTGCACTTATATAGGAAAGAGAGCCTGTCATCCGCATAATCTTTTATCATTTATCATATTATATCTACATATTATTAAGTGACATGAATTATAATTTATTTCAGAAGACTTTTTTATTAAAGTGCCTTGTTCTAGCTTTTAATAAAAAAAAAAACTTTGTTGTTCCTTGACTGTGCCCCCAATATAAACACATTTCACCACCTCTCATGCTCACATGTTGTATCAACTGCAATAACCTCCTAATTGGTCTTTTGTTATTCCATCTTTGCTACATAATAGAGTGAGTCTTTAAAAATATATATCACATTGTTTCCTCTTATTTCCCAATTGTCTAAATCAAATTTAGCAATGGTGCACCAGTTACTCCATGGTCTAGCCCCAGTCATCTTTCTGATCTCATCTATCATTCCTCACTTTGTT